GATAAAAAGCAAAAGGGTCAAGTGATCCAATTCCAAGCTTCATCTTATTTTATTACAACAATAAACTCTGATATTTTCATGTTCACTTCATTTGAGAGGGAAATAAAATGTCCCTTTTAATCGTTGGGGAAAAAAAATTATTCTACCTTAAGAGCTTTGGAAGCAGAGTAAAAAATGCTATAGCACCTTAAAGAAAAGTCCTAGATTTCTCTGTACCAATGGGAGATGAGTAAAATTTGCTAGTGTTAACCTATAAGTGTGTTGCAATTCTCCAGAAATAGACCCATAAGCATGTAAGAATTGAGTTTATGAGAAAAGGCAGAATTTCAAACAACTAGGAAAAGATTAGCCATTCAATCAATAGTACTGTGAGAAATGGACAGTCATCTTAAGCAAAGTGAAAAAGGTTGCCCAATTCATTTCCCATTTCAGAAAGATAAAAAATATAAATAAATAAATTAAATACTAGAAGAATATTTGCCTACTTAACTGAAAATAAAGCTTGGCTTAAGATAAGTCTTATTATTGTTGTTAAGTGCCATAGAGTCATAGATCACCCACGGCAACCCTATGAACCAAAGTCTTTAACACAAAACTGTCATCATTTCTCCAAGTTCATAGAGGAGTTTCCGGAGGCAAGCCTTTCTGGAAGTGGATGCCACTCCTGCTTCTAAACCTGTTTAATTCAGGAGATCCACAAAAACCAGGCAGAATCTGGGCCATTCCACTCATCTTCCCAGCCTGGAAATGGCTTATAAACTGGTAAAGGCTTACAAACTTGTTCAAAACCCCCAAAAGCCTCCAAGAGAAAAAGCTACCAAAAATACCCATCAGTCTGACTTCATAAAGACAAATGTTTCTGCAAATAACAATCAAAGTCAAAAGACAGGTTAAAAAAAGTACTTTTAATGTAAAGTATATGTGACAGGGGCTAATTTTGCAAATAAACAGAACTCTAAACAATCAATTAAAATCTACTGGCTTACACCAGGCAAAGAAAAAGATACACAAATGGCTTTAAGCCAGGGTTTCTCAACCTTGGTAACACTGACATCTAACTAGGTAATTACTTATTGCAAGAGCTTTATCCTATGTGTTGTAAGAGGTTAATAATCAGTACACTGGACTCTATTCAGATTCCAGTAGTATCGCTTTCAACTATGACAAATGAAAATCTCCCCAGACATTGCCAAGCGTCCTTTGGAAGGCAGTATTAAGTACTGTTAGTGTTGTCTACTGTACAGTTGGAACCAACTTACAGTTCACCCTCCAGTGGGTTTTCAGAAGCTGTTAGTCATAGGGGAAGAGATTACCCAACCTTCTGCCGCAGCTGGTGGCCTCAAACCTTTGGGACTGCAGCATAGCTTCTTGCTACTAGGCTACCAGAGCTCCCTACATGAATACTACTACTTTTAAATACCTTAAAAACACAAAACCATCATTTTCAAAACACCATTATTGGTTTCAACTCAGAGCTACCCTCCAGGGGCGTCTAAGACTGTAAATCGCTAGGAAGGAGGTTACTCTTCTATGTTCCACATAAGTGGAGTCAAACTGAAAGAGAGTGAAAGTCTTTGCGTCAGCAGCACAGCTAGTTATGGATTACACCACCAGAGTTCCCTATAATAACCATTATAACAAGGTGACAAAATTAAACTTTTTCTTGTTGTTACGTGCTGTCGAGTCGCCTGCGACTCATAGCGACCCTATGCACAACAGCTCTGAACTCTGCTCTATCCTGAGCTAATCTCACTGTCTCCAACAAACCAAACCCTATTACTCCAGTCACTGAGTCAATGCATCTCATTGAGGGTCTTCCCCTCCTGCACTGTCTCTCCACCCTCCCAAGCATAATGTCCCTCTCCAAGGACTGGTTCCTCCTTGCAACACGTCCAAAGTATGTCAGACAGAGCTTTGCCTCAAGGAACAGCCTGATTTCACCTTCTCTGGGATGAACCTGTTTGTTCTCTTAACAGTCCACAATATAGTCAATGCTCTTCTCCAGCACCACAGCTCAAAGGCATCAATTCTCCTATCCTCTCTAGTCATTGTCCAGCTTTCTGATGCATAGCACATAATGGCGAAGACCATGGCCTGGATCAGGCACACCTTAGTCTCTAGAATGACATCATTGCTATACAGTAATATAAACTTTATTTATATTAACAAACATTTTAGTGTTTGCCTATGTGATGGCTAGGAAATTTCCCTTGTCCTTTGACATATACAACCTCTTTGAAGGACCACCTGGTAATAGTAAAAAAATTTAAAGTGCATATAACTCTTTGATTCAGCAAATTTATGTCCAGATTTATCTTACAGATATACTCACACAGTCGCAAAGAGGTAAAAATGAAGTTAGTCAACTGCAGCAAAAATGGAGGTTTAAAAACTGGAAATAATCTTGTATCCAACAGTGTGATTCATTAAAGAAATTATAGTACATGCATAAAATATGCAGTCATTTAAAAGGATGAAGATCTACATAAAAAGTATGTTCCAAGATATATGAGGGGGAAATAGCAAGCCCCAGAATAGAGTTCATTTCTATTTTTTAACTTTTTACTGTAATTTAGGTGAAAGTTCACAAAGCAAATTGGTTTCCAACAATTCATATACATTTAGATTTTTATCATTGGCTGCATGCAATCTCCACAATGTACTAGCACCCTTTCCATTTCTTCCCTGTGTCTACTATTTCAATTTTTTTTTAATCTCTTCTTAGCTTTATCCTTGGATAAATGCTACCAATTGACTGTATATGTTTAGTTCTAGGGAATGCATTTCTCCCCACCGTTTTATACAACATATAAAATTCCATAGGGTTGTCTCGTTTGGCTGAAAGGTGAGGGAGTGGCTGGAACTGCTAAAGCAGTTCCATCAGACCAGTAAATCTGGTCTGAGTTTTGTTCATATTTTTCTCCCAAGCTAAAAGGGACTACTTATTTTGCGCTCTTTTGGAGAAGTTGGCAGTGTTAGCTGGCCTGTTTCCACGCGTCTTTGATTTTCTCAAGTTACTCTTACTTTTTTTTTTTTTTAATGGTGAGAAAAATTTATATTTAGAATTAGCCAGCTGGACTCAGTTTAGATGATCCCAATTTTATTGGCAACATCCAAAGCAGCATAATCAGGAGCAAGTCAAACATAGGCCTTCTCTCCATCAGGCCTAATCAAAGTGTTGACCTTGGCCACATCAATGTCATAGAGCTTCTTTACAGCTTGTTTAATTTGGTGTTGTCGGCCTTGACATCTACAATGAACACAAGTGTGTTGTTATCTTCTATCTTCTTCATAGCTGACTCAGCGGTCAGGGGAAATTTGATGATGGCATAGTGGTGAAGCTTGTTTCTCCTGGGGGCGCTCTTCAGGGGGTATTTGGGCTGCCTTCAGAGTCTCAGCGTTTTAGGCCACCGAAAGGTGGGTGTCGTGAGGATCTTTTTTTTTTTGGCTGTGGACGCCCTTCAGGACTGCCTTCTTGGCCTTTATTGCCTTTGCTTTGGCTTCAGTTTTGGGAGGGGCAGGGGCTTCCTTCTTAGCTTTCAGAGCCATCTTCGTAGCAGGTTACTCTTACTTTTAAGGTGATATACGTGTTTAGAATGTGTATAAAAGACCCTTGGGAGCTACGGCGGCGGCGGCGGCGGCGGCGTAGTCTGTAGGGAGTTGTGCTGCAAATCCAAAGGTTATGTACCTCACGCAGTTGGAATCCACCAAGGGTTTCAAAGGAAGAAAGAAAGACAACCTCCTATAGTGCGATTTACAGCCTAGCAGCGGAGGGGTCGACCAAGAGTCGGTTCTGACACCACGGCAGTTAGTTTGAGATATTGTGTGTTAAGTACAAAATACATTTATCAATGCCCTGGTTAACTGGAAATCTAACAGAAAGTAACTGCGGAGTTCTGGATGTTTAGGGAGATTAACTTTTATGGCACCGTTGTAGACTGTTTAAAACTTTTGGCTACATGCCTTGTGCGTTTCCAGCAAATTATATAATGGCTATGTCGCTCAGTTCAAAACACATTTCGTGATTACGTCAATTTCTTGAAAAATAACTTTGTAAACAACTAAGTATTATTTCAGAATTGGCCTTGAGGGGCAAGAGGAAACTCTTTCATGTGCACGGGCTGTTCCACCTAACCTTTGCTTTCACTTTGAACTTTCATGAATCCAGCCAGCCGACCTTTCACCTAGAACTTGCAAGCATCCAACTAGATATCTATGTCCCAGGCTGGGAGCAGAATAGCAACTCACACTCGTTCCTTTTCCCGTATAGGAGAGATTTACACGACTGCTTCTTTGCAGTACACAACTTTAGGTTAGTTTTCACTGTGATCGCAAACTCTAGATACAAGATGCTGCAATGGCTTCATTTATCCTCCCAAGCCAAGCCCACCCGGACACTCCACGGCGCCACCCACCCAGCCTCGCATTCTGCCCAGCAGGTCTCCCTTTTTCGTGGTGTCCCTCTCCTCCTTACCCGGTGTTGGGTAGCATGACTCTTGCAGATCTGAGGAAGCGTCGGTGACCCTAACAGTGGCAGTGAGAGGTTAGCTAGACCGGGAACTTCTCGCGGCATTTAGCCCCGCCCTTAACACAAAGCCTGAGTTCCCTCCCCGAGAACTGGGGCGGAGGGGAGGAAGGACGGGCGCGTTACGCGTGGCGGAAGCGCGCCTGCGCAAATCTACTCCTTGGCTTTAGTTTCCACCTTCTCGCAGCTCCGGCCCTGGTGACCGCCTGTTTGCGCAAGCGCTTTGGGACCCAACTCAGCCCCGCCCCTCTCACGGGACAATCAGCTTCCTTACTACGCCTGGTGTGTCGGTATTTACTACGTAGGCTTTTCTTGAAGATTCCTCGGTATTCCCTCTCCGGCCTAGGACTACGAGAGTGACATCTGATTGATGTTCTAGCGACCACGAACAGGGAGGGCTGTCTCGGTTCTCAGCAGACCCGGAACTGGGGTGTTTTGGGTCTCAGTGTTACTCTCCACGACAGAGCGTGGGCACCTTGCCGCCTGGATGCAGACCTCTCTGAACTCCTGCACAAACACGTACAAACGGCGTAAATTCATGTTCTTCTCGGGGCCAGCGTCACACTTACAGACCTCACATTGAATCTGGTTGAAGTTGGCCAGAGGTCGCGTATCTGTAAATGTCGCCGGTGGTGAGGAGTCTGTTTTTTCGAACACTTTTGCAAAAGTCCCACCAAAGACTTAGTAAATGGCGATTTTTTTTTTTTTCTATCCTTGGCCGATATTTCGACATCAGAAGTCAAATTTAGAGGGGACAGTTATTTCTCTCAGACTCGTGCTGGCATGAATTCGATTCTGGGATTCAGAGTCTCTTTTGGAAATAAACCTTGGACATACATCAGGTACTTTAATGTGCTAGACAGGCGGATTTGAACGGCAACACGAAGTAATTGCTTTCTATTTTAAAAGTGTTAAAGCTTGTCACTTACGAGTTTATCGATTAAAGAAACTAACCGAAGATAGGGTATGTATTCTCCACTTGGTTGCAGTCTCTAAATGTCCCTATATTGAATCACCTGCCTGTCATTTCTGTTTCATTTTTAATCCATAATATGATCCTTAGATATTCCAGAGAGATCTATTTTTTTTCCCTCGAACAAATACAAGAACTGTCCTTCAAATTCTGTATTAAGGTGAAGGGACTTCTCTTTTACAGCGTCTTGCTCTGTTCGCTGCCATGCTGAGACCATTGTTACAGTCACTGTGTCAATCCATTTTGCTGAGAGTCTTCGTCTCTTTCGTTGACCCCTACCTTTCCTAGAACGATGCCCTTGTCCAATGGGGCCTCTTCAGACCACTTTCCGACAGAATGTGAATTGAAGTTTCATTCTTGCCTTTAAGGAGCACCCTGGTTGCACTTTTTCTAAAACATACTTCTTTGTTCTTTTATAGCCTATGGGATATCCCGTGCCTTTGTAAAACACCACAGTTCAAGGTGTTAATTCTGTTTCTGTCATCATTCACTGTCCAACTTTCAGATACATAGATCCTTAGATCTGATGCACCTTCGTCTTTAAACTGATATCGTTGCTCTTTAGCATTTTGAAGCGGTCTTTGACTGCAGACTTTCCCTATGCAACATATCTCTTGATTTCTTGACTGCTGTTATCGTTATGGATCCAAATAAGATGAAGGCATTGACAGTATTTTTTCCATCTCTCGTGATGTTACCTATTGGTTCCAAATCCTAAATAAGACATGGTCTTAATTATCTATTGCTGTGCTACCCGAAACCACAAATTGATGGATTTGACATACAGAAATTTACCTTCTCACAGTTGAAGAGGCTATTGTTAGGTTGAGTTGAGTCAGTTCCAACTCATAACAACCAGTGTACAAACAGAATGAAACACTGCCTAATTCTGCACATCCTAACAATTGTTAGTCTCGATGTTTGAGCTCATTGTGGCAGCTGCTATACCAATCCATCTCATTGAGAGTCCTCCACTTTTTCAACACCGCTATAATTTAAAGGCATCGGTTATTCTTTGATCTTCATGCTTTCTCTGGTTTTCCCATGCACCTAAGGTGATTGAAAATGCCTTGAATTGGGTGCATCTTAGTTCTCAAACTGACATCTTTGTTTTTAACACTTTAAAGAGGTCTTTTGACATCAGATTTTCTCCATGCAATCTGTCCTTTGATTTTTGTCTTTTTTCAAGAACTGTTCAATGCTTTCACCTTGGTTGTGTGTAACTCATTGTGCACCTCACTGTGCCTTCCCTTTGCGATATTGTGCTGATGTAGATCACCTCATAATTGCATATTGCCTTTTAGTTCACCCAGCTTACGACCTGTTTGATTTCTTGACTGCTTCCAAGGGGGTTGATTATAGATAAAAGTAAAATGAAATCTTTAACAATTTCACTATCTTCATTTGTCATAATATTGTTTATTGGTCCAGCTGTGTGGGGTCTTTTTTCTTTATGTAGAATGGTAAGCCAAAACAAAAGCTATTAATACTTCATTGGTAAGTCTTGAATCCTCTTTGTTTTCAGCAAGGTAGTGTTGACTGCATATCATAGATTGCTAATGAGTCTTCTAGTTCCACTTTATTATTAATCTTCATATAGTCTAGTTTCTTTAATTTTTCAGCATACAGAGTAACTAAATATGGTGACAAGATATAACCCTTTTTTTGTTTCATGACAGTAATTGTTTTTCATTGAGATTTTAATGAATGTTTATAGAGAACTTAGTTTTCCATTAATTCATTGTTGCATATTTTCCTCCCTGCCTCCCCCAGTTCACTTTTCTCTTTGAAATAAAAATTCTTTTATTGTTGTACAATTCACCACCCCCACCTCAATCTACTTTACTGTGCACCTCTAATTCTGGACTGTTATCATACAAATAATACCTAATCATACATTCCTTTAAAGCAGTTCTTTCACTCATGTATTTCCATGCAATGTACATTATCTTCTCTTTTCTCATTTTCCCCCCAAACTCGATGTCAGTCCTGTTTTACAACAGTGGCATTATGCAGTATTTCTCTTTTGTGACTGAGATATTTCACTCAGCATAATGTCCTCCAGGATCACCCATTTTGTATAATATTTCATGAGTTTCTTGTTTTTCAGTGCCGCATTCCATGGTGTGAATATACCTCTGCTTCTCTATCCATTCCTTTGTTGATGGGTACTTTGGTTGTTTCCATCCTTTTGCTATTGTGAACAATGTAACAGTAAACATGGGTGGGCATATATCTGCTTGGGTAGCAGTTCTGGTTTCTTTAGGGTATATTCCCAGTAGTGGAATTTCTGCGTCAAATGATATTTCTATTTGCAACTTTGTGAGAAATCGCCATACTGCCTTACATAGTGGTTGCACTATTTTACTCCCACCAGCAGTTAATAAGGGTTCCAGTTTCTCCACAACCTCACCAGCATTTGTTGTTTGCTATTCTGTTGAATTTTGCTATTGTTACTGGTGTGAGATGATATCTCAGAGTTGTTTTGATTTGCACCTCTCTTAGAGCTAGGGATTTTAAACATTTCTTCATGTGTTTGCCATCTGAATGTCTTCTTTGGTCAAGTGTCTGTTCATATACTGTGACCATTTTGCAACTGGGTTGTTTGCCTTTATCTTGTTGTGGTGAAGATATAACCCTTGTCATATCTTTCCTAATTTTAAAACATGCAATGTCTCCTTGTTTTGTTTGAACAGCTGACTCTTTTTCTATGCAAAGGTTCCACATGAGTACAACTAAGTGTTCTAGAATGCCCATTCTTTGCAATGTTATCCATAATTTTTTATAATCTATAGAGTTGACATATATAGCTTGGAAGCAAGAGTGGCATCCACTATGAACCTGGAGAAAGGACGAAAGTTATACAGGAGGTGTCCAGGACTTTCGTTCATAGGGTCTCTATGCGTCACCTGCGACTTGATGGCACTTAACAACAACAACAACAACAACAACATAGAGTTGAACACATTTGCATAGTCATTAAAACTCAAATAAACATCTTTCTGTTATTCCTTCATTTCGACCATGATCCATCTGACGTTAGCTACAATATCCATCCATAAAGTCCTCTTCTCAATCTGATTTGAATTTTCTGGTAGGTTTTTTGTTGAGGTACTACAGCTGCAACCATTTGTTTCCATGTGATATTAAAGACATTGTTCAATAATTTTTACATTTTGTTAGATCACTTTTCTTTGGAATGAGCACAAATACGGATCACTTCCATTAGGTTGGCCAGGCAGCTATCTTCCAAATTCTTGGCACAGAGAAGTGAGAGTGTCCATTGCTGCATCTGTTTGTTAAAACATCTCAATTGGTATTCTATCAATTCCTGAAGCAAATATTTTTGTCAGTCCTTTAGTGTAGCCTGATTTCTTTCTTCCTTATCATCAGTTCTTGATCATATGCTACCTCTTTTTTAAAATTCATTTTAATGAACATTTACAGAGATTTTGGATTTTCATTCATTCATTGTTGTACTTTTTTTCCCTTTGCCCCCCTTCCCCCAGTTTGCTCCTCTCTTTGAAAAGCAAAAGATAAACTTCTTCATTGGTACACAAACCCCCGCTCCGCCCCTCCCCTCCCCCCACCACCACCCCAGATGCACTCCATTATGCAACCTTAATTCTGGATTCCTGTGATAATCACAATATGATCATATGCTACCTCTTAAAAGGGTTGCATGTCAACCAATTATTTTGGTAGAGTGATTATATATATTCCTTACATCTTCTTTTGATGCTTCCTCTGTTGTCCGATACTTTAGGCTACAAAATTCTTCAATATTGTATCTTGAGACTCTAGTTTCTTTTTCTTCAGTTATTTCAGCTTGAGAAATGTAACACGTATTCTTCGTTTTTAGTTTTTTTTTTAAATTTTATTGTGTGTACACCATCAAATCAGATCTGATAAAAAAAATCAGATCTGACTGGTACAGGAGGAGATTGCCCCTCCTTCTCCAGCAGAGCATCTGGTGGATTTGAACCCTGCACCTCTTGGATTGCAATGCACTTTTCTAGTTTTTTAATACCAGATTTTTCTCTTCTTGAGCTATGCTTTGAAATCTATTTACCTTTTACATCATAATTTGTTCCATTTGCTTTAAATACTCTATATGTAATAATAATAAATTTCTAGTTTTACATCCATGTTGGTTTGTGTTTTCTCTCCCATATTATTCCATGAATGATCTTTTGCTTTTCTCATATTTGATGGAATTTATATCTTCCCCAAACTGTTCTTTAATCATTAATTTAATGCATCAAATTTGTTCTTGAGGTAGTCTTCAAATCCAGGTGAGGTATACTCAAAGTCTTCCTTTGTCCTTCATGGACTTGTTTTCATTTGCTTCAGTTTAACTTGATTTTACATATGAGCATTGGAAGACCTTTCCTATAATCAGTTCATATCTTTGTTCTGATTTATGTTGCTAAACCTCTCCATCATCACTTTTCACTGATATCCATTTGATTCCTATGCATTGCATCTGGTGAGTAACATGTATATACTGACTTTTTATGGGTTTTTTTTTAATTGTTGTTGGTCAAACATTTTTCTAGGTTGTATAGCTCTGGTGTGTCCACGTGTCATACAGAGGTAACTTGTGGTCTCTGTGAAGCTGAACACTGTGACACTGATGTG